CCCAGCTCATCCTAACCCAGCCCAGCCGAGCCCAGTCTCTGCCCTGCGGCATCGCGGGCGGGACGCGTCGAGCGTGGGATGCCCGCGACCCGGAGGGCGGCTGCCGCGGTAGGCGCTGTCAGGTCTGCGGCTGATCTCCCGGTGGGATTTGCGGACAGTCATGAACCAGACCGAGGCTCCCCGGCCACTCAACTGGACCATCCGGAAGCTGTGCCATGCCGCCTTCCTCCCCTCTGTCAGACTCCTTAAGGTACGGTGAGAGCCCCCTTTGCCTTCGAGAACCGCTGTCTGCCGCTAAGCATCTGCCCGGAGGGCTGCGGTCGCCGTGGCTGGAAAGTTAATTTAGAATTAGTCCCAACTTTACTATTAATTACCTTGCCTGCTGCCTTTAAAACCCCCCGTGAGCACCTGGAGCTACCAATATTGTGCGTCTGTACTCTATTCAGTGCGTTTGTGTGCCCGTAAAGGTCTGTGAAAGGGGTAAAAAAGGAAGTAAGGGACGGTGGATATCATCTGTGCTTCAGTTTGCTTTGTCTTACCAATTGCTGTGAACTTCCAGGGATGAAGAAGGTGTCTGTTTCTAAGGCGTGTTCCTTTGTGAGCAGCCCTCTGCTATCTGTTCTTTGGGTTATCTGGCCCCTAGGCATTACCTGAGAGATCCAGTACCACTCTCACCAACTTGTAAGTGGAGCAATATGTGGGTGGAAAAAAATTATCTTGGTTTGCTGAAAGCTGTACATGGGAATAGGATCAGTTAAAGACTGGCAGTGCAGACAGCATCAGTGAAACTTTTTTTTTTTTTTTTTTAATTTGTTTAAACTGAGTGTCACAGTTTTGAAGGTGCTTTTAAAGGTGTTTTCAAATGCGCTTTCCTAGGAAATAATTATTTTCTGTTTGAAAAAAATTATCTGGGATTATATACTGTGGAAGACTCTTATTGTTAGCATGCAAAGTACCATTACTACCGTGTGCCCCACTGAAGCCATTTAAGAGGCATTTGTAGACAGAAAAGGAAATCTCTCGAATCAACTTTTTTTGTGAAAAATAGGTTACATTAAACTGAAAAAAAAAATAGGTTACATGAATCTGAAAAGTCTTGTTTGTTCTTGGAACAAATGAAATTTTAAACAATATACTAATTTCCCTGTAGGCTGTGTTTTATAAAATGTTTTATTCAATGTTTTATTATTACAATATTTATCTCATTTCATCATAGTGTTTGATAGTTTGGCTTTGAAATTAATATGCAGCCAGGTAAAGCGTGGCAAGTCTGATGGAGTATTAGATGGTAATGTTTGATATAACCATTCGCTTTTGTGTGAGTAGCTTGGAAATTAGGTCAGTTCTTACTACTGCAACATGCTTGAGCAGTAGTGTAGCGTATGACATTGCACAAGCAGACATATGTTTTATGTATAATTATTGTATGTCTGATTCACAAGTGACCATACTGTGTATCCTAGCAGGTATTTTTCACATCCTCACAGGAAGGGCTACAGTTGAAAAATATTTCTGTTTCCAAACCAGATGCATGGCTGCTGGGGGGGTAAATTGTGAGCATATCCAAAGAACAAAAGAAAGATAAAACTTAGATTCCTGAAAAATCAAAACATAACTAATACAGAGAAAATAAGAAAGTGGTGTTGAATGTTTTGTAAAGGCTTCCCCCCCAGCCCCAGAAGCACCCATGAGAATATGCAAACTCTACAAGTCTGATGCTTTAGAACAACATAATTTTGCGAGGTGTGAGGACTCGAATGTGGGGAGTTTTACTGGTCTCAATACCGGTGGAGCAGAGGCTGAGGGGGTGTAATCTGCAGCATTTCTTCTTTGGCGGACGAATGTTGCCCCATGTGTATGGTTTCTCTTCATTGCTTATTAAGGATGAACATTGTGATTCATTATTAAAAGAGCTGACTAAAAAGGATTTTCTGAAGCTACAGCTATAACCCATTAGGGAAAGCTAGTGACTGCAGAGTTAAAAAGAGCAGGGAAAATAACCAGAGATAAGCAAGCTCTGCACAGAGGGTGTGGGAAAGACCACAGCAGAGAAGGTGGAACTCTGGCTCCTCTCTCTGCTCACGAGCAGTGCTTGTTGACTGGAGAGGGAAATGCATACATCAGCATCTTTGAGGCTTCCCAAAAAAAGCTTAAATTTTCGCTCCTTCTCTTTGTCTTCTATTATTTAATGTGTTTAAATCAAGTGAGTGACAGAAGAACAGGGGCTTATTTCTAAAATTCCACTAGCCAACCTGAGGAAATTCTCCTGTCATCAAAGAAAGGGTGTAGTAACAGCAGCATTAGAGGACTAGTATAAATATTTTCCTGCATACAAAATATTCTTTTCTATTTCATGTTTTATTTCCCAAAATAAAGAAGAAACTTTTTTTTTTAAAAAAAAAAAAAAATCAATGAAAGGTGCTCCTCTAAATTCCAAAACACTGGAAAGACAAGTGCAATAGTCCAAGATAATTTTTTTTAATTGCACAATTTCCAATTGGACTAAGTGGTCTTAAAGGCTAGTGCAATATTGTTTCTAAGGAGATGTTCATTAAACCCTTTCCTACACAGCTTTTCTCTGATGACAATGCTCTCAATAACAAAATAAACTCTGCAAAGCCTTATATGTTATGGCACAATTTTATTATCGTTTGCTTTATCTATCATTGTCAAAATCCATTTCAATGTACATTGTAAATTTATTTAGAGTAAGAAAATATAAAACATTATTGCTTCTTTTTCATTTCTGTACTTATTTTAGTCTACCAGAACGAAACTAATAGACCATTAAGTTCCAAGACAAGCTTTTTCCTGAACTTGTAAGAATGAGAGATTGCAGAAATTTCCTCTTTTACACACACAAAAATTCACTGTGACATTACCTGGACCTTGCTAATAAAGGGCATGAACTTTTCAATTATTTCCATGTTTTTTTCAATGAAAAGTTTAAAGTTCTTATCTGTGGATACAATTTTAAACGTATCATCAGTGCTTTCATGGTGATGGAATGTGAAAAAACGCTGAAATCTAGAACTGCATGGAGGCAAGGCTCTTTGTGTTGTCTTGAAACTACTGTTTTTTAAATAGGTACTGAAGGAGTTACTCAGCAGGTGGGTCAAGTTCTTGTTCCACCCTGTTGAAATGGATGAGCAATGCTCACTTGCTTCAACTGGCGTTGGATAAAGCTCTGGCCACAGTGGCCTCATTTAATTGAGATAAGCTAGATTTGTAGATGCATCCAGTTTTGCTCCCTTTGCGTTTCTTCCAGGCATGCGTTCTGTTCCAATGCACTTCACTAATACCTTCACATTTAGGTGTAGTTGTATAATCCTGTTTTCTCAGTTTTTTATTTTCTGACAGGCACAGAGTACTAGGAGCTGTACTGGAAGTAGAGATTGAAACAATTTATTGAAGATTTTTACCACTTGTGTCAATGGCTCATCTTTCACTGCTCCCATTTTTTTATCCTCTAATAAGTTACTTCCTGTAGCACATTCCATGATGGTATTTTTGGGGGGTTTTTTGGGGGGTTTTTGGTGTTTTGTTTTTTGGGTTTTTTTGTTGTTGTTGTTATTGCTTCAATATGCTTAAAACATTCTAACACACTGCCTCATGTCTTTCTGTCTGAGGTAAGGACTAAGAAGTGCTTTGAGCACATACGCAGAGAGGTTGGCTTTGTGCAAAACTGTCACTCTCCTGAGATAATCAGGTTAGTTTAAAAAAACCAAGACATTTTAAACAATGTCTTGGGTTCTTAAAAAATGAATGAATGGATAAACGAATGAATGAATGACATCATGCTAAAGACCTCACTCAGAGGGCACTGTGCCCTAGGAGAGGCTGCAGATGTTGTCCTTCTGCTTGAAACAGATATAATACATGCCATGTGATCAAGAAATAGGCAATATGCTCAAGAAATAAAAAAAAATAATGAACTGAGTGCAGAAGAGGACTGAATAAAAAAGGTCTGTAATGTGCAATAAGTTTTAGCACCACAGATTTATAGATGTGCAAGTGTAGAAATACTGTATGAAATATTTGAAAAGCAACGAATTGCCCACCTTTATTTTTTTTATAATGAATCTAGTAATTTTTTGTTTTTGTAATGAATCTGACTTGTATGTCAATAACTAGGCCTGTAAGGCAGGAACTTTGGAAGGATCAGAGGAAAAGAAACAGAATCAATCAGAAGAAACACTAGGGGAAATGTTTTGGCTGTTCTTCCCCAGCAAACAGCTTGGCAAAAATGCCACCTTAGCTCTACTAAATAAATAAGAACATTCAGCTGACCTGGGCAGTGGTCTATCCTAGCTCCTGAACTGGTAGAAAACTAAAGAGTTCAGACACTAAATTTCTTACCAAATGAAAAACTAGGTCTTCTTTTGATTATTTTTTTATTTGATTGCCCTACCAAGAATGCACAAGGTAACCCAAGAGAAAATTAAGAACATGAAAAATAGCTCATTGGAATGAGACACAGTGTCTTTTGAATGTGACATAGATAGATATGAAATTTTGACTGGGCTGATATATGTGAATAAAAAGGGTGGACAATATTTCTCCTGCTACCACAAGTTTGGTTATGTCCATGAGGAAGGTGTCTAAAGAAATAAAGACTGGGAAGCATCCGGCAGGCTTTATTAAGATACATGGGGAAATACTACACTGTTCAATGGCTACATCAACTAAAATTGCACTGCAATTGATTAACAAATATAATTTTATTTCAGGATAATTTAAAAAAAGTCTGATTTGGAAAATTGGGTGAAGAATATTGCTTCTCCAGAATGGTGGAAGAATGAATGTTTTCTTTAATAAACAGTAAATGTTTATACTTCTGAAACCCCTTCTGTGAGAAACAGTGATTGTAAGAGAGAAGGAAGTTGCATCTTCTGGAGGTTATTATGTCTCAAATGGATTGAGGAAATTTAAAAAAAAAATTACTAACAGTTCTATATTTCAGGAGAGATATTTTTGATAAAGCAATTTAAAAATACTTGACAGGTGGATTGTGTGCCATAATCATGAGAGGGTAATGTTTGACTGTTTGGTCTTCAAAAACAGAAACATAATCTTTTAATGCTTTTTTATTGACAATGAATGAGAAAATGAGCAAAAATTTAAACACAAAGGCAGTCAAAATGCTTTTTTTTTGCTCTTTGCTACTCTTCTGATGCCCAGTTTGCAGTGATGTCTCCTAGCTTATGCTTAATCAATAATAATTCTGGTTATTATTTTAGTTAATTTACA